CAAAAAACAAAAATGTGAAAAAGGGTAACAAAGGAAAGAGATAAAAAAGAGAAATGTTTTATATAAAACAATTTCATTTATTTCACAAATTTCATATTCATTGAATATACTATATATATTATAAAACTTTCAGTTTAGTATATCAAAAAAAACATTTTTAATTAAATAATTATGCATATTAAACATATTAAAATTTAACATGTATGATTTATATAAATTGAATCATAAGTCTAACGGTTAATTTTTAAAAAAATTATTAATTATATATATATATTTGGATTGTATAATATAAGGCAATTCTACTCTTCCTCAACTCCTCTTTATTCATCTTAAAATTTGAATTTAAAATTTTTAACATGAAAATCAAAATTTTTAATCACTTAGATCCCTCCCAAAAGATATAACTTGTTCTAGTTAAAAAACAAGCTATCCACCTAAAGGTAGGGTAGACACAACATAAATGAATAATGATAAGAGAGTCGAAAAAGGAAGACGAATTTGTGGAACGAATCTGAGATGGCAGGCGTCTCACTTCCTTTCCACTTCTTTTCATGTTTTTGCAATCTTTTTATTGTTTTGGGTTCATCCAAATCCAAATTCTTTCTTCCAAATCTTCATCCTTTGTCTTCCAAATGTTCATCCTTTGTCACTATTTCTCTCATCCCTTGCAAAAACTAACTATAAATTTAGAATTTCTATCAATTGGGGTTCAATTTTACCAAACAGGTAGGGTTTAGTTTTTCTTATTCTTCTTTTTTTTTTTTTCTTTTTTGAAATTTTAAAACCATGGCTATGGGATTTTGATTGCTAGGATAGGGTTGAACCTGGTCCTTGAATTCAACGAAGTTCATTGGAGGAGGAGCTTAGCAAAAAATGGGGAGATAAGAGAGAAAGATAGGAGATTTGGAAAGAAAAAAAAAAAACCAGAAAAGAGGTAGAAGATAAACAGGAAAACATAACTTAATTTAAATTTTTTTAAATTAATATATTAACAATGTGGCTTGCCACGTCATTGATCTCAGAAATTCGTCCCTTTTATTTGTCCTCTGTATCATTGTCCAGGATAAATAGTGCAATTAATCAATGGGGAAGAAATATTGATTTGATTATGTTGAGCCAGAACCACCCTTTCTCAATGTCACAATTCATTATCTTAGATATTTAATAGGAACGAAATTATTGTAAATAAATATCTAATATAGTTTAAAATGTTAGTATTGTGAGAAAATTGATATTGGTAAACAAATTATGTCATGGAAATTAACTCAAATTTTAAATTTAAAAATTTTTTGTAGGACATGACAATTAATAAAATAGACATAATTATTTAGTTTGAATGAATAGATGTAACTAGTTATTACCAAAGGTTATATATGTTTGTGGAAATGTCATAACTTTTTGTCAAATTATATAACTTTTGGTTATTAGTCATTTCAATCATTATAAATAAAAGGCACTTTGACTTTTGGGTTTAGTGGCATCAGATCACGTATAAATGTATTTTCTTACTTTCAGGGTAACGGTTCGAATCCAACCCCTTATAAATTTGTTCAAAAATAAAATCATTATAAGTAAAAGATAGTATATGACGTTTCGTCCTCTCAAAATTTTTTTTGAAGGATTTATTTACAAATTTATCTTTCAATTAATATTTTTAAAAATTAGTTATTGAATTAAGAATTTTATTTATATAAATTATACATATTAATTTTTATATTGATTTAATACTAATAACTTTTAATTAAATAAATTTTATTTATTGATATATACTTATCAATGTTAAATTTTTTGTTGTCAATAAAGTAATTAGGCTTACTCGAATAAATTAAGAAATTGATATGCATTATTTATATAAATAAAATTTTAATTTAATAGTTAATTTTTAAAAATATTAATTAAAAAATAAATTTTTAGATAAATTTTCTAAAAAATTTAAAAGAATGACTTACAAAGTATTTTTTTTCCTATAAATGTATGCAGGCAAAAGGTGCAGATCACTCCCTAAACTCAACAACTGGTGGCAAATCACCCCCTTAACCCACTTCACGTGCAAATCAACCCCTCAACTCACGTGCAATGGCAAATCAGCTCCTCTCTTAACCCATCCGTTAACATTTAACAGTTCGCTCATCAGCCCTTCCTCTGTGTTCAACGTGGCCTTCTTTTTGCTGAGATGGATGCTAAGGTGGAGGCACAGCTAGACAAATACCTCAAAATCGGCAGATTACGCAAATTACTTTTATACCCTTAAGTTGTTTAGGGAATAAAATTGGGGATTTGGGGATTTAGGGATTTAGGGATCAGCTTCTATCATCTTTGTCTTCTTCCCTTCTTCGTCTTTGTTTAGCAAGATCTGCAATTCATCGAGCATGGGGTTTTTCGTCAAGCTTTGAATCTTCTGTCAAATTACCATATTTTGAGGATATCTAGGCTTTTATTTTGTTTGGCAGCTTCTATCATCTTCTTCCCCTCTTCGTCTTTTAAAAATTGAACCTTTTTTAGCAAGATTTGCAATTCATGGAGCATGGGTTCTTTGTCAAACTCTAAATCTTCTGTGCAATTACCATATTTTGAGGATATTTAGCGTTTTATTTCATTTTCCAGCTTTTATCATCTTCTTCCCCTCTTTGTCCTTTCAAAAATTGAACTCTTTATTATCGAGCATGGCTTCTTGATTGATCCTGGACGCTGTTTTTGGTCTCTGTATTGTTTAGTTTCGTTTGATAAGTTTGCATATTGAAGAAATTATTGTTTTCTGATGGTTAATTTGCATTTGATTTAGTTGCATTTGTTGCTCAATTCGATCTAGATCTATGTTAAGAAGACAAAAATGGCTCATATCTGTTGGTTTCAAGGGGTCTTTTGGGTTGCATTTCTAGAGAAGATCTGTTCTTTCTGTGATTTTAATT